TTTGAAGAATTTTAGCGCAAACCGCACCTCAATATCTATTTTCGTTCAAAAGATATGGGACTCGACAGTTTTCAACTTGGCAACGCTGCTACGCGGAAAGAAATTCATTTCAGGCCTTGAAATTTTGGGAAAAGGCGTATCCCATAGTGAGGAATTACATACCTACTGAAAATTGGTCAACATCCATGAGGGGGGAATTTTTGTCGATTTTGCATACACCCCTTTGTCAGTGGTCTAGTAAAAAGTCTAGTGAGAAACTCTGCGATATTCATCTCAAACGCGCGGCAAACACGCGATTTTTCCAGCAGTTTTCAGAGGACTTAGGAAATCACGTATACTTCACCTCAATATAGTGGCAAATACGCGATTCTGTGAGCGATTTTGTAATAAAATGAAAGATTACTCGCTTCCACCTTAATATCACAGCATGTGCGCGATTATTAGGCGATTTTAAAAAAACATGAAAACTTGAAACTGAAATACAAAAAGAAGAAATTCCTGGTTTCTGGAATAAATACCCTGATTTTTCCTTGAATTTTCATTCCTTTTCACTTCCTTCTCCAGCCTGGATACCATGGAGACAAGGTATATTTAGCAGACTCTCTTTTTACACTCTGATAATTGGCAAGACTGGACTTCATAGTTTTTGATTTGATACATCCCACCTAAGTAATGAAAAGATCCCAATGGGGTGAAAAAAATTAGAGCCATAAAACAGGCAGGCCACGCAATCTATAATTTTTCCCACATTTGAGGCTGAAGACTTAAGATTTGGTACGAACTTAGGAAGAGTTCAATTAGAAAGTGCTTGATGAGTTTATACAGTTTCCATTCCATAAGAGTTTCTTTTTCTTATCCATTTCTAAAGCTCTCTAAAAATTTTTTAACTTAAATTTTAAAATAGGAATAGCATGCGGGTAAGAGAGAAATACTATGACTTACTTTAAGAAGTAAATTTGCCCTTCTGAGGTCTTGGCTTGTTCCCAGCCGGGTGGCAAAGGTCCCAGGTCATCAACAGTCTGATTTGTCACGTCATAGCTGCGCTGTTTCAGATGAAGATTCTGATGCTGCTGCTTCTGTTGTGCCTCCGCCTGTTGCGCAGAGGCATATGTTTGCTGTAGAGATGCCGGTGAAGAGTGTGCACGCGGGTGATTCACTTGCAAACTAGTCGATGTAGTTATTGTGGTCGTGCCGAACGCGGAGTCTGCCGAGTTTTCACGAGAGTGTGAAATAGACGAGACCGACGGTGACTTTGAGCCTGTAGATGGCGGGTTGAAAAATGAGGGTGGCAGTTTACGCATACGCAATGGCAATTGAAGGGGTATTTTAGCGTCTGGTTTTAGCACGGTATCAAACAACTTTTGAAGCTCTGTCTCTGAATTCTGATCCATCCTAACCATGAGGTTGTTCTTTGAATCGTCTTGATTCAAAGCCATCGTTGATGAATTATTACGAAGGCACTACAGAGTTAATACACTGCAAAGGAAAAAAGGATAATTAAAACTGTTGTCAACAAATGATGAAGTATAAATGCTGTACCGAAACCACTGCAGCTGCACTAGAAAATGAACTTAGGATATTTTGTCTCATGATCAGGTCAACTAAAGAGGAATCATTTTTTGGACTAGGTGTTCGATGCAATTAAGAGAAGATGAGCAGAGGGTGAATATGCGTTGATACAAACGCATGCAAAGAATTTGGTAGATATCTCAACACACAAGGGCCTCGCTTGACTGGGCACACACTTCTGAATCAATTCCATACCATTCAATGCATTTATTTTCCATAACATGCATGCATGAGCTCTTGAAAATTCTGAAGCTCTGCTCCCCGTTTCACACGGCTACCTACCTCACACGGCAAGTAATTCAACTCATAAAATCATCGCATTAACTGATAGGTACAATGTGCTAGATGAAAGAATCTCCAAAATTTGAGATTTTTATTCTCCAGCTCAGCTTCTGAGATACAATGTGTGCAAAATTAAATTAGGTACTTAACTTGATGCGCTCATAAATTAATATACTTTCTTGTGATGCAACCTTGAACATAACATTAATTGTTGCAATCCAGCAATAACGGATTTTGATATCTGTTATCAGCTGCAGCAGTCGTTACAACAACACACTTCCTAAAGAATATTGGTAGTGAATCATCAGGTTGAGGCTCAAGATACTATACTTAAATAGAATTTCAAAATGAATACTTCAATACAATTTAAACAAAAAAGAACAACTAATCTCTAAATGTATCAAAAAGCCCCAAAAATTACTGAGAGGGTAACTCTACCACTGAGAGATAAAACTGATTAAAATTGGAACCCTTGGGTTCACACGGCAGTCGCGACACCTGTTACTTCTAGGAATCAGATGCTACAGGTGAGTCAGGTGAGTAGGTACCAAGAACCTGCTGTTATCTTTCACTCACTGACCTTTCTGACCGAGACGGAATAAATCTACCTCAGACGATGTTAAAACAGGATTGCAGAAAGAAAACAAAATTCGGGAATTGAAAGGATGGAGCCTGGAAAAAATCCGCCTGATATTCACCTGCTGTGTTTACTTGGGGATACACCTGAGAGGTGAGAAGATGGAGCAGATATGCTGCGTTGCAGCCGAACACAGAATCACTCGAACTACGAACGAGGAAATTAGGATGCAGGAGGCACCTAATCCCTTCACCTACACGAACTTCATTACTGCAGGGGCCGACGAATTGGTCAACTTGGACCGCGAAGAGCTTTATCACTAGCGAGCACAGGTAAGTATCATGAGATAATTACAAGAGGGAGCACGGTGTCACTTAAAAACTACATACGGGATCGTAAGGCGCGGATGAACACACACTAGGTACAAGGTACGAAGTCTACGAGAAACATAGCGTTTACCTACAACCGAAACAACCGAGATAATACATAAATAACAATAAATATAACAAATTAAAACTGAGGTAAACTAATAACAGGAGGACCGCGTCGCGAATTACACACGGCTCCTTAGCATCGCTCTGCGGCACTGAATTCTCAGACACGAAGTATTCTGCACTGGGAATTTTTGGGGGCGATGCAACAGTTGGAGCTCAAATTACTCGTGAGCCTTCTGACGAATTTTTAATCACTGCTTTATTTATGATGTATATTAGTTAAATTCTCAGATTTAATTGTTTAACTTGAGAAAAATATATTTTTAAAATCTATTGAACCGAAGAATGATTATTTTTAATCCTAATTGTGAGACACTCGTCAATTGTTTTTTTGGACAATATTTCTATTACGTTGGTAAACAGCATGAATGAACCCACCTGTTGATTCTTTTCCGGCCAATCAACGTCAACTCCAGTATTTGGCGCGAAATTTGAATATGACGCAGTAATCGAGCGGTACTTACAGTACAGTAATAATGGGCAAAACTTAATTGGATACCTCGCCAAGGTGAGGAAATGAGTAGGAAAGGCGTCCGTTCACCCCACCCCAATTTTATTATCTCATTTTTCCTCAAAATCAGCGGCAAAATGGTTAAATTTTTTGGTGCAAATCGAACCATTCACAAAATTATTTTTCATTCTGAAATCAGCTCTTATTTGCAAGAAAATAGTTTTTAAAAATGAACCTGTGAAAACGCGAAGTTCAATTTTCAATTATACGATATCGAGGATGATTTTCTAATATTTTTGGTAAAAACCAGACTTTCGAGTCATCAAAAGTTTTTAGGGCAAAAGGGGTTCCTGGGTACTCTCAGAGTTAATTCCCCAACCCAAAGTACTTTCACCTCACCCCATCCCACTTATTTTTTTCTCTTGAAATTAATAGGTGTTTCCGCTCAAATCAATTTCAATATCGGGGAGATCACTCACGAAAACTTTGACCAACCGTTTACTGTCACAGAGCCCTCGAAATCGGTATCAATTTTTTGAAAATCCAACACCATGACAACGAAACAAGAAGTTCAATAAATATAAATTAAAATTTTTTAATTTCCTTAATCATTTTGCTGCTGACTTTGAGGAAAAATGAAACAGTAAAATGGGGGTGGGGTGAACGAACGCGTTTACTACTGAAATGTCATGTTTAAAAGGAATTCAAGTAGTTTCATTGATTTTTTTATTATGAAAACTACCTACTTTAAACTAGAGAGATACGAAACTGAGAACAGGAATTTGAAGGAGCCTCGGCGTTGTTTGCCCAGTTGAAAGTAAACTTTTGAAATCAGCTCCTCTGTGTACGTTCGGTGCAATTATTGGTTTGAGAGAAAAAAATAGAAAAACAATCACCACACTGACAATCCCACTGCACCTCAGCAGTTGTACAGGCCATGACTTCGAAACACTCCTTGAAACTTCCTGGATTTGAAATCTTATTGATTCTCCTCTTTGCAATTTAAAAATCCTCAGTTTTGAAACAGGCATGGATTCCAAACCCTGATACTATTGTATAGAAAGATTTCAGAACATTATAATTGCGATTTTCAGTCCCCAGGAGTAGATAATGCCTCAAAACTTGTTTGCCCTGTTTATAATCCTACAACTTGCTTTTCTGAACACATATAATTTCTGATGACTTTAGTTAATGCTTATCTTTGAAAAAAATAGTTTACAATTTCAGTCAGAGTTCTGCCGTCAGTAATAGGCTTGCTTAACATAGTAACGTCACAAAAGAGGCTACTAATTATTTTGGAGCTAATCAAGACATGAGAAAAGAGCAGATGACAAAAAAGGCAATTTTTTGGGGAGAAGGAATCAATTTTCTACGAGATAACTATTTTGACTAAAAATTAAATGGAGCCACTTAACTAGTTTTAACATAATGCCAGAGGCTTTTCCAGTTGTTACGGGTAGGACATGACTCTTTAAATAAAATGGGGAGAAAACCAGTTCTTTTTTAAGTTTTTTTTTTTTAATATTATTTCGGTTTGGATTCCTTGTTTTATTATAGCATTTAGGGAAAATTAAAATAATTTTATGGAAGAATAAAAGAACCAGCACACAGGATTTTTGCGTTTTTTGCAGAAATAAATGATTCTCTGCAGCTGAGGTTTACTCGTGTTTATTATGTAAGCAGTAAATCTAACGAGGTAATTTTTTCGGTTCAAATCTTCCTCATTAAATAAACTTAAACAATGTTCTTCCGCTAGAAGACTTCCAGAAAGTTCCTTCATCGATCCTTACAAAAATGAATAAGTCTTTGAACTTTAGTAATGTTACCTGAGAGAAAAATTGGTCAAAGTGTGTATTTTCCCAGTAGAAAAATGAATACTGGTTAAGAACAAGTGAATCGAATCATTACAATTAGCCTGATTCTTCTCATTACAGATTAATTTCAGTTAACCACCTTTACAAACAGTTCCAAACTTTTGCAAGGGGTTAATTGGAGCTCAAATGTAATTCAAAATGGTCCTCTACAATTTTCAGCAAAAAATAGTTGAGAACTGTCAAGGGGAGTTTCTGAACCTGGACGTACCATAAAAAAAAAAGAATGATTGCGGAGGTAACTTACACAAACACAAAAAAAATAACGGCAGAGGGAATACAATTTTTCAAAAAAGTTAAAATAATTTATTAAAATAAGAATACAAGTAACAAAGAGGACATACAAACGCATAAAAAATGTCTGTTAAATTTAGTGCATAAAAAAAGACAAAGGAAGTGCCAACAGAACAAAAGACTAGCCGAGAGGATTCCAAATTTTTATAAAAAGGTAACAAAAGTAATTTCCACCCTTCAATAAGTAGTGCATTGCCTTTGATGAAGATTACTAAGGACACATTCTGGTGATTAAAAATTAATCTGATAATTAAATAAAGAATACATATTTTGCGAGGAAATTTTCTGCTTTGCTCCAATTTAATAATTTAAAATTTATGGTGTTTTCGCTTTTTGTACCCTTATTTTGTCTTCTTGTGTAGAGAACCAGATCTCAACCAAAGGCATGTTCAAGAAAAAATAAATAAGTAAATAAATGAAATAAAATAGTTAATAACAATAGCAACTGTCGGATCTAACCTTCTGAGAGGTTCTGCAACTATGTACCTTGCTTCCGTCATAGCAACTGAGTATTAATTATCCAATAAATACCTACACAGTTAGCAAATAACATTCAATAGGACACTCTAAAAGGTGAATTATAACTGAAATTGAATAACTTTGAAAAACATTAATAGTTACAATAATCTGATAAGTTGGGATTTTCAATGAAATTAATTGCGTTAATATTTTGTCTTGCAACTTTTTGAAGGAACAATTACGTTTTTCATTCACAGAGTGTGAAATATTAAGAAGGCGTTGATTTCTTTGGACTGAATTTTAATGACACTAAATCATAAATCTAAAACTGTGAACCAAAATAGGCAAACAGACAAAATTAGGAGCACGATATAATTCTCAGATGGCAACAAAGAAAAATAAATATAATCTCAGTATATTAATTCAACAACATCATTTAGAAAGGTAATTTTCTACCCAAGAACGTAATTCACATTTCATTACTTCCTCCTCATACATTAAGATGCACATAAACAAATAAGAAAAACTTAATTCACGGAGTTAAATACAAAAGCATCAAATATTCATGCTAAAATCTCAATTTGGCTGAACTAAGAGCAAAAAGGCGCGAGGGGAGTTTCCTCATCGCCTTAAAAAGTAAAAAAGAATAAAATCTATAACAACTCAGCAGTTCCCTTCTCATTTTTTACCCTTACCCTTGCCTTTCTGTTTTTGTTGTGAGTCTTCTTTCTCTGCTGATGACGCTGCCTCCTCTGTTTTCTTTTGATGTCTTTTAGGTGGGACCGGAGGCTGCGCCTCGCTTACTGTCAGAGCTTCCACTGCTTCTGCGGCTGCCGCAACCGGTGAAAGAGGCGGCGTTGGGGCTATGACGGTCGGCGTAGCAGGCTGCGCGGTGGAAGGTGCTTGCTCTGATGTCGATATGGGAGGGACCGTCTTCTTACCGTCAGCTGAACAGAAAGCGAGAAAGCAGGGTAAGAAAGCGCCTAACACTATTCTTCAGTCTTTAGACAGGGATTTTTTCAGTTTCGAATCAGAATGGTTTGCACCTGTTAACTAAGGAATAACACTTCTGTAATGATTTGAATGGTAGGGCCCCCAAAGGGCTGGTCATTTTCAAATAAGAAGAGTGGGTAAGAAAAAATTTGACCTATAAACAAGGTGATTGCAAGTAGCAAAACTAATTAAATACTAATTATTAAATGAGGAAAAATAATTACTCATATAGAAACCTTGGTCTTGCGCTTGGAAGCAGTTGCACTTGGACTGCACTTGAGAAATAAACGCAATACCAATAAGGCTATGTATCAACAATGAAAATCCAAAAATTCTTGTCTCATATGAAAAGTTTCAAAATCTTCGCTCACCATGTTTGATCAAAGTAGAAAAAATTGACAATATTGCCTGGAATTTTCACAGAATATTTTTTACACAGAGAGGAAAAATCATTAAAGTTTTTTAAAAATGATGTCGAATAATAATACATTCATACAGCATATAGATGGCTCAACTAGGGTGCCATGTCTTGCGATTTTGATCTTTCAAAATTCCTCCCTTCATTTTATTTTTCAGAAGAAAAAAAGTAAGCTTCATTGCTCGAAATTGTAACAGGATACCTATTCTTACAACAAGAGAGATCTTAGGGAAAGGCTCTGTGCTAAATCAAGAGTTTCAGCGCTAGCTGAATTTTGTTATTATTTGATATGATGTTCTTTATGATCTTTTGAGTACAATGAGCTTAAATAATTAAACTTTGCATTGCAAACTCCAAGAATGGAAGCACTGAAAGTAGATTTTTCTGCATTTTTACACACATTACCCGGTAAAAATGTTGGTAAGTTACAGGAATTCCTCTTTTCTTACCACATATCCGCCAGGAAAATAAGATAGGCACCTGGCGTTCGTCACATCAACTGCTCCAGAATAAAAGAGGCAGCATATTTAACACAGCATGCCATGTCGCCGAGAGCAAATGTGAATAACACGTGCCGAAATATTAACTTTTCAGCCCCACTTTTCTCAAAATTGGCACAGAGAAAGTCTATTCGAAGGCTTATTGTGCTCAATGGGTCGTAAAGAACATCATATTAAAAAAAGAAAAAAATCAGTCATAGCAGAATCCCTTGGTTTCCCAGGCAGGTGCTTTTTGAGAAACAACAGTAAATCACTTGATCAATCAAGAAGTTTGCAAACTTTTGTGCTCTTGATCACAAATCTGAATGTTAATGATCACGATAAAAGCTGAGAATTTGAAGGACGACTTGAAAAAGGAGATCAGTAAAAAGACCTCACCTGATTGTGCCTGTTTGACTGGCTGTGGTTGCGAGACTTCTGTCTTTGTTGATCCTACTATGCTTGTCTGGACTGCAGTGACTGACACTTGCTCTGTTGAGGCAGACGTTGCCACCAAATTGATGTCTGCTGGTGCCTCGGAGGTCGATTCTACAGTTTCTTCTGGAATCTCTGGTTGACTAGGTCCTCCTACAGTTTGACAGATTTTGTCCCAGATATTTGTGAAAGCATCGCGGCCCATGTAATCTATCACTCCCTGTTCCCAACTTTGGCGGCGAAGATGGTCTTCGATGACAGCATTTCCTGCAGAGGCGGCAGAGCCCAATTTGATCTTTGAGAGGGCACCAGCTATTCCTGACTGTAAGATGATAAATAGGATTAGCAAAATCATACTTAAAAATAGGGCGAAAAATAATTATTGTTTTCATTTTAGGAGGAGAATCTATCTATCCATTATTTTTTACTTGTAAATGTGCAAAAATAAAGCTACATAAGATGGCATATACTAGAGATACAAAGCTGGAATAAGACGAAAATAGTTTCAGATAATGAAATATAACAGAGCGATAATGAGGTCCTTGATAATAATAATAAAACAAATGCACAAAAGTGGTGGTTCGTTTGAAAACATGAAAGAATAAGCATCCCCTTGTAAAGTAAGGGGTAAGTTGAACAGGTCAATGCTTTCTCAAGGATGTTTATGGTAAGGTAGGAAAAAAATTTAGCCTATGGTGCATTTATTTTTAAAACTTTTTGTTATAAAAAAGTATGAAAAAATCAGCGTAAGCAAAAGAACCAAGCCACATAAGCTATTGCCAATTTAATCGAGCAATTTCATTTTTTACATGAAAACGGCTGTGCGGATTTTGGTGCAAATTTCAGTGAATTTTCTGTCTAGTACAAAGCAGATTCCTTAAAATGTTCAAAGGAATCCGCGCAAACGTTCCCTTGTAAAAAAATAAATTGCCCAGTTAAATTTGGCAATAGCTGATGTGGCTTGGTTCCTTCCTGCTAAACGCCATCCAAATAATTAAAACTTACAATTTCTTTTGATAACTTACTTCATCCTGATTTCCAGCAGAGTCCGTCTGCAATTGACTACTATCTACAGGACTAGGATCACGAACGGAGGAATCATTTGCAAAACTATTGTCAGGAGGGTGAGAATCTTGAGTTGATTTTTCATTAAAATTCTGAACATGCTCATCATGACTATGGTGAATACTATGAGACTGATACGAATAATGCTCACGACCACTTTCTTGAGTGTGTTGCTCATGTGAATTATCGTTGTGGTAGTTCGAACTTTCGGGTGTAACATGGGGTGGAAAAGGCTCTTGTGGGTGGTATTCTGGGGTTTCGACTTTGTTGAGAAAATCGTCCCAAGGGTCTCTGAAAATGTACGGTTCAGCAGGAGTGGGGAGGGGCTCTGGAATGCTCGAAAAGGAAAGATTCGGAGGATTAGGTGAGGAGAAAGAGGGCGAAGAGTACCAGCTACTGAGGCGAATGCTTGTCTGCGTGAAAGTAAAAAAAAAAGCGCAAACGAGTTAGAGAAAATAAGAGAAACGTCTACTAAAAAGAAGTCAAATTGTTATTGGTAAACAGAAAACGAAAAACTCAGATGCAGGCCAAAAATTTAAAGGCAGACTTCTTGAAAGTTTTTTTCCCGAATGCGCCAAGTTTCAAAACATTTCAATTTTCAAGTTTGAAATAAGTTCAAGTTTTTCAGAAATAGACTATCAGCTACGAGACTCACGGGAAAAATAAAGACTATGTACAACTAGTTTTTGGCAGACCTTTTCATCTATCCAAGAATGTTAATATTTATCTACGTTCAATTTTATTGAGATTTTCTCAAGCCCATGAACTGAAGAGGAGCCGCAAAAAATGAGATGAAACATGCTAATGGAAATTAAACCGTAGACTCTCTTCTACTAATTTTGGATAGGTAGGTGAAAATCTCTTAAAAGTTTCTGAATCCAAAAACTGCGAGTGGTCTTTACACATTCAATGAAAAGTGGCAGTCTCGCCTTTAAATTTTTGTCAATAGCTGAAAAAAGTGAAGTTGTGCTAAAAATTGAAGAGAGGGCAAAGCAAGCAAATAAAAAGAGAAACTTCCCATTAAAACAAAATTTAGGAAGAGAAATAACGAGCTTGCATACAGTAGTTGAAACAAATCAGTTTAGAGTTCAGTTTTAGAGATAGTTAGGAGTTCTAATTTCAAAAGCTACGGTATCAAGAAAGAAAAGGTGCAAAAGACTTAATGTATTTAAAAAAAGTGCATGAAAGTACCCAAAAAAGAAAATTGGAAAGTGTTTGAGGTAGAGTGGAAAATAATGGTACTTTCAACAAAGCAACTTTAGTCACTGTAACCTCATTAAAAATTGTATACTTATAGAATTAGGTCAGCATAATTTTTTGCACAACTCTCACTTACGAAAATCTTTGTTGTTTAGTTATTTACAAACACTAGTGTGCGGATGTTCGGAATTGCATCCTAACGGTGTCAAGTTAACTTCAGAAGATGTTTTTCAAAGTTCTCTGCATTCCTGGATTTGCTTATTTAGTTTGAAAGATTACAAACGCTCGGGCAAGAAAAACACTTCAAAAGCAGTAAGACCTGCAGTAACCTCAGTAGCTAAGGTTCCCAACCGTTCTAAAGAAAAAAATTTGGGTGGAAAATGAAGTTGAGTAAATAGGGAATAGGGACAAAAAGACAAGGGAAAAGGATTCAGAACAAGCTTCAAGGGAATCATGATAACTCTTAAATATCAGCCAATCTAAAAGTTATACTACAATAGCCCTCCTCAGCAAGAAATCAGAAGTAAGTGTTTCTATGTTAGGGATCAATTGTGACTTTTAGCTAGATATGAAATTTAAGAATCCGCTGCTTAAAGACACAAGATGAACTTTCATCCGTTCCAAAATCTGAACAGATTGATGTTAGAAAATATGAACTTTAAACAAATTTGAAAAGATATAACATGAACTGATATTGCCCCACTTTCTAAACATCCTATTTAATCTCAGATTTGCATGAATACAAAATGTATAAATGGAGACTTTATACCACTTTAAAGGGATTATATTTTCTTGGATTTTTTGTGTGAAAGAGGCTCACATTCTATGAGCCCAACAAAACAGCTTTATAAAAAGCAAAAAAAAAAAAAAAAAAAAAAAAAAAAATGAAACACTGGCAGAAGCTCAGTGATTCGTTTTTTTGTGAGAACATTTTTTTAAATAAATTCACCATGATAAAATTTTGGATGTCCTCTAGTCATATGCAAAAAGAAACGAAATGCAAAAACAGCCATTATGATAATTTCCATTCATTAGACCTGCCTATTTACAGCGCTGAGGATTTATCATTGAAATTGCTACGAGATTCATGAAAATACCAATTACAGATGATATTTACAATGGAAAAAAGTGCTCCTTGCATACTTTTTAGCAGTCTCCTGGACACAGCGTTAATATTTTTAAATAAATCAAAAAATTAAAAAATTAAAAAATCTATAGGTACATTGCATTCCAGTCAAACATATTCACAATCCAGTAACAACTACTTTGAGCAAGAGTTATATATATAAATACTAAAATCGACATTTTTTAAAATGCTTTTTGAGAGGAAAACTACAGGCTCATATGAGAAAGATAACTTTACCAACGCCTCAGAGGGACTCCAAGATTCCTGCATGAAAGAGAGTAGGATTAGCTATCAGAACATCTGACAGAAAAGGGTGCTGATAGCACAATTTTAAAAAGCAAGCATCCTCACAACGACAATAATCGTTTTTTTTTTGTTTCTCTTTTGGACACAAAATGAATATTTCTGATGAATGAATATTTTATTTTTTTGCAACACGTAGCTATTTTCATTCAGGATAAAGTGCATAATGCAATTCTTACTAAGCAGCAGAGCAAATTAGGCTAAGCTGTCTGCGATTTGCAATGAAAAAGCTACCCAGCAAATTTAAAAAAGGAATCTCTTGGTACCCTTCATCATAAAGCTTTTTGGATAGTACTGAAGGCAAAGAAGAAAAAACTGAAAATGAGATTAAAAACATTTTGGAGGAGAGAGGGTGAATTTACGTGATTTTCTTTGGAATTATCTCAGTGACAATTATTTGAATGGTTATGATTCAATTGCTTTTGCTGGTAAAAAAAAGAAGAAAAAAAAAGTTTAAATGATGATACTTTTATTTTTAAAAGATGAAGTGAAGTTTGCTAACATAGTGTATATTGAGGGACCCCGAATGTTTTGCAAGGTTGTAAAGTATGTTGTTTTACAACAGAGGGTGGTGAAATTACAGGGTAATTGAATGAGTTCTCTTGCTTTTTATACTATTCATGATTTAAAATACCTATCAGTTTTTAAAGCTTTCACATTAAAAACTGGATCATCCTGCTGATTTATCATTATTTTTTTCCTTCTTACTCAAAATTAAAAATTTTCTTGATGGTTCAATTTCCTTGTGATTAAATAATTGAAGACATCTTCAGAAAACCGCACTGAATTTCTTTGTGATTAAATAATTGAGGACATCATCAGTAAACCGTGCTCATGCATACTTTCCCTGGAGATTAGATTTTCCAAATCAATGTACTCTAAGGTTTCATTTGTCAGATTTACTTTGAATTATTAAATATTGAGAGAAACAGTTGGGAACCTTACCGCCTGAAGTTACGAGATTCAATAAGGCACTGTTTCAAAGGAAAGAAACTATGAAAGAAAAGTGACCAGATTTGGTATTTTGTATGAGCTAAACATAAGACAATCAAGATTACTAGATACTAAAATATAAAGCATATTTCCTTCTGAACGTGCTACTCCTTTATAATCTTAATTAATACTTTCCGAACAACAAAAATGTGAGAGAAAAAAAAAAAAAAATTCCAAGCATGAAAATTTAAGGAAAGCCATGCTTTTAACTGAGAGTTACAGGATAAGAAAGTGAGGCAAATTCTAAAAACTAAGATTTTTGTACTTACCATTTCTGAGGAAAGGACTGGATGGACATGCGTACAGAAGAGATCCCACCAGGTTTGCAGAAATGGAGCTAAATGAGTTGTCGTTTCTGAAATACTGACTAATTGTGTTTCTGCATTAAACTGATGCAACCAAGGCTTACTTGTCCCGATGAAGTGGATGATTTTTATGTTTTGACCATACCTATTACATTCAAATAATTGTAGATTAATCAAAAAACAAACTGCACATTATCAAATGAAATCAATTGAGCAATGTTTCAGAGTGCGAAAATACTGTTGCAAATTTTAAAAGTTAAACTTAGTTCTGTTTTGGAAAATAACATTTCACGGAACAGTGAACATATGTCACGGAGAGTTTAAACTTTCCTGGAAGCTTAAACAGATTTGGAAACTTAATTAGATTACTCAAATTGAAAGAGCAAAACCAGTCTCACAGCTTGAAATGATTCAAAAATAGGCTTTGGTTGGAACCACAATTGCCGTTTTTATGGGTCATACAATATATTTGGATACAAGTAGATTAAGTTTATCACACACCAAATTGCATCAAGTTCAAACTGAGAAAAAGAGGTTTAAAGTTTTATTTCTCAATAAGACTTGATGTTAAGGACAAAGTTTATAGAATATTTTTATGCTCAAAATATTTGCCCTCGACATTGAATTTTTGAAAGAAAAAAATTTGCGACAAGTTAAATTCAAAAGTACTTCCGATGCAAACAAAATGCGATTTGTTACGCCCTTGTAAAACTTTGTCCAAATGATTTAATTCAGTCCAAAATTAAGTATACGTACTGCCAAGTTCTATACTTTAATTGCCATTAGAGTTGAAAAAAAGAATAAGTAAGTATACAAAAACTCACTGTTTCAAGGCTGGTAAGTATGAGTAAGTTGCTGTGGAACACATATTGTATACAAATGATAAGTGCTTGCTAATATCTTTAGTTGCCCAATCTTTGAAATATAAATTTAACAGTCCTTGGTCTCCACCTGAAAGAGTTAAATTAGAGAAAACGATTGAGATCATCAAAGAGAAAATAATTGAGATGAAAACTTTGATAACCATGTTTGTGGTTTTAAACGGTAAGACATAGTTTTTTTTATTCCTTGAATATCTCAGCATACTGAATTTTTGAAGGCATTCCCAAATAAAAGTATAAGGGAAAAAAGTAATTCTGAAATCAACTCTGATTAAAAAACCTCATGGAAGGCTTGTCGAGGTGCCCGGATGTACAATGAGCTGAGCCATACAAATGGCGCAAATAGTCATCTAATGCCAAACTTTCCGTTCAAATCATTATCTTTGATAATACTTCATAAACTTCGCATCAAGCTTAGATCAATGTCTTTGGACTGAGAGGCGTACCGGTGCAAAATGAAATTTGAAAGAAAATTATTTTATAAAACATAATGAGGGAGTGATTTTTTTACTGATCTTTATTTATAATATCTTATCAATTTACAATTGAACACATTTAAATAACAGAAAGCTATATCAATTGGACGTATTTCTGTCAAACGGAACTATGTGCATTAAGACATGAGCCCTGAGACCCATAAGAGTATATGCATAACAGGGCTCACGTCATAATGCACATAGTTCCTTTTGATAGAAACACGTCCAATTGTGACATGAGCCCTAACAAACATGCATTTTTACGGACCTGGCAGCTCATATCAGAATGGATATGGTTCCTTTTGATTCAAGTACGTCCAACTCAGTAACTGATTTCCCTGGTAGAGATCTAGCTCATTTTCTAGCTTTCTCAGATAAAGAAACTGACTCTTGCAGAACACTTCCAAAACAACAATAAGTTTCTACCACAGCCAATATGCTATATTTGCGAAGGGAGATTAGTTATCACAAAAAGTTAAATTTGAAGCTATGCTAAAGGTCCTCTTCAATAGGCCTAGTGTTTTAGTTTTCTCATATGCGTTAAATGTAACAACAAAAACCTGCTGAGAAAAAAATTCTCTACAAACCATCAAAACTGCCGTGTATAAGGGCAAAATCAATAAGGGCGCTAAATGTATCCGCGGAGGGTTTGTACACAAATACACCAGAGTTGAAGCAGTCCGGCCATCCAGCATCGGGTGCTGCTGAAAACTCTTCTTTCTCAAATAATTCATCACAGTTTTGCAAAACCTGAAAAAAATTCAATCATCGATTAGAAAATAAAACACGACGAGCTATATCCACACGATAGTTGCAATTTAAATTAAGTCGCACGGAAAAAAAAGGATGTTCATTTCCAATCCTTAATGTTGAAAAATTATACAACTTTGCTAGATTTGTATTGATTTTGTATTGGGAATTCAAGGGCAGATGTGTCGTCTGTGAGAAAAGCCATAAACGTTGGCTACTTTCTACCAGCCATGGTCACTATTCATGCGATGCATGGATGCGTAATCTTTCTCTCAGAATTAACACACGTTGTGAACCTAGCTTCATCGGCTCTTAAAACTCCTTCAATATAATAGCTAGGCAATTTTGGGCACACGCGTTCTCACTGGGTCAGTGCGCAGTGTCAGTGTCTGAAGCGCAGCATATTATTCCGCCGTAAATACCTCGGAACACACATGATCTGTTTTCTTTGCAAGTGCTGACTCGCTGCACCTGCAGAAACATGGCGGCAAAAACACTACCTGTTGGCATCTGAAGTTAGCGCAGTAAGTTCAGCGATTGCAAAACGCAAATTACAATACCCCGGCCCCCAGTCCCTAGATAAAATTCCTGTCTAGCGTCCATACATTTTTCACGTGTCAAATTGGATGGGGAATAGACTGTTGTGCTAAGAAAGAACGCCGTAAGAACATTAGAGAGTTGCCAAATTTACCCGGATAAAGCATGTATTTCTGAGGAAAGTTAGGAATATTTTTCCTCATTTGCAGGTATTTTAGATCATATTGCAACAAAATTTACTGGAAATTTTGGAAAAAAAACATTGGCAGTTTTCCCGGTAAATTTGATTTTTATTAAAGGAAATGTGGCAACGTCTGAAGGTTCATACGGCGTTTTTCCCTAGCACGGCATAATAGAGAGGCCGCGGGGATCACTTGAGCAGTGCTTATTCACCCTGGTCTGACAGGCTCAGATTCTAGCACTCTTAAAATACGTCAGATAACAGATAATGTCGCATTAGATATTGAGAGGAAGGAAAGAAGAAAAGAAAAAGTAAGAGGGAGAGGGAGAGGATAAGGTCCAGGAATAATAAAAATAGGGAGGAGAAAAAGATGGAGGGAAATACTAGGAAACGAGAAAAATAAACGCAAGAAGAGGAGGAGGAGGAGGAGGAGGAAGAAGAAATTTGTCTGCCTCTTCTTCATCCCCTTCCTTTTTTACTTCCATCCTTTTCTCTTACTCCTTTCTCTTCTCATTTTCCCCCTTTTTTGGGGGGTTCGTTCGCTCCATTTTCCTTGTCTTCTTAATTTTACGTTCTTGTTTTTTACTACTACTTTCCAAAGTTCGTGTTTTGTAACCAACCCTGCAACCTAACTGCAGAGGTGTTAATGGCCATAACTGCTAAGGTAGGTACCGCTTTAAAATAAACGAGTATTACTACTGCTACTACTACATTTTATTTTTCTTTGTCTTCTGATCTTCGATTTTCTTTCATTTCCAACTTCTGCTTCTTCTATTCTTCACATGTATTTTTATTTTTCCTTTATTCCTTTTTTCCTCCTCCTAGGGCCGGATTATACGGGTGGCCACATAGGCCGCGGCCCATGGCGGCAAATCTAGGAGGCGGCAAATTTTGCAATTTTTGTAAATGTAGGTATAAAAAAAAAAATCGGATTTAGAAAAAAATTACAAACAAAATCTCTCATTTCCTGAGAGTATAGTAATTTCTAATTTTGTCGTATTTCGGTGATACAAGAGACAGCACTTTTAATTAATCGAGTTAAGAGAGAGAGACCAAACACGCAATTTGGCCAGGAACGGCGCGACTGAGAAAGAAATGATGACGAGGACTTGAGATGAAAAGGAGGAGCCCTCGGCGCGGCGCGGCGGTCGGCATGTAACACATATTGGCGCCTACATTCCTACAAGACTGCACGAATACTTCACGCATTGCATCAAACACAATGCGGTCACTGCGGTTAGCGTGAAACAGATAGCGCCTACAAGAATGCATGAATACTTCACGCACTGCGCCAAACACAGTGCGGCCAGCGTGAACCGCATAGCGCCTACAAGACTGCGTGAATACTTCACGCATTGCGTCAGACACAGTGCGTTCATCAGCGGCCGTCGCGTCGGCGTGAAACTCATAGCGCCTACAAAACTATCGGAATACTTCACGCATTGCTCCAAACACGGCGGGGCGGCGGAAGTTAAAATCATTAAACCACATTTATGTTTGTTCTTACATTATTTTTTCGTTCATTTCTTATGAATGGAAGACCTTGTCCACGCAGAGATAGGTTTGTGAAACTTAACGTTCGCGCAAAGTTCGGTGAATTTTTGCTAGTAGTGTTGACAGGGCTTTCCCCAAAAAATTTTCCAACACGGGTAAGCGCGTCTTATGCACCCCACCCCTGCTGGCACGTTCACTTGATGGTTTTTATTGATGTTTCAAAACGAATGAGAAGGGGGCGCCAAAATACAGGTGGCCAATGGGCGGCAAGTAGGTAAATTCAGCCCTGCCTCCTTCTCCATCTTTGTCATCCGATACTTAAAAACAAATATCCCTTAGTTGGTGCCTAATTCAACATGCATTGAACTGTTGGACGCAGAGCTTAGACACGTGAGTTCCTGATAAAGCCTTGAATACAACTATTCGTGCTCAAAGGATGTCCGTGTTGCATACTTTGAATATTGAAGGCGACATTGACGCTTGCATTCCGGAGAAAAAGCCTCGGGTCGATTTGATTAGGGTTCCATTTTCATTTCAACGGATCCAAGACCACGTAAGAAGCAAACTCCGCATGTTTCCTTCTCAAAATGTCGCGCGGAAAACTTTTTAGGGGAGGAGTCTTACCTTGCAGAGAGCCCGACGCGAAAGAAGGTAGCATGTTAGGGTCGAGTTGCAATGTTTCAATTTTTCATGGAAATTAAAATCGTGGAATTTCACGGGAGATATTTTATGAAATTTCAGAAATGTATGAGAGATTGAAAAATAATTTTCGCAACTAAATGCAAAGAATTATGGTTCTTTAATTTTGGTGTTCTTTAGTGCGTCTTGAATACCTTGCCCATAAGAACAAGATTCATATTTTTCACAGGTTCATGAAATATTTGACCGACTTTCCCAGACGTTCATATTTTTCATTTCAATGAAGAATTTGAACGAAAAATTGTATTGCTTCATCTGAGAGTGCCTAATGCGCTGATTTCGCAGCATTTTTTATAATCTTTTTCTGATACGGGGAATAACATAAAAATAGATTTAACAATTGAAAAATGACGTCATTTAGCAGCATTTCCCATTTCGGCACATGTATTTTAGCAGATTCTGATATTTCGTCACATCTCCTCCGATAATTCTTCAATTTAGAAACCAGGGGTATTATCGTGCTCATCTCTTAGTAGTTTCATCTTAAACATGGAATTCGCCAAATTTTGGACACCTGCAAATTCTCCATTGTGCAACCCTGGGTCGATCCCTTGCTGCAATGCGTTCGGGCGGACGAGCGGCAACATAGCGCGGCGTGGCGTTGCGGCATGGTTTTGAACTTAAAGTTGCGGCGAAAAACACTGATGGACGAGATGATAATTCACCTAAATTGCGTATGAGTGCAGGGGCAGACGCGGTCGCGGCGTGTTTCTTGGCTAGGGACCGGGCACGGGGGCTAATATTAGACCGGGGGCCGAGACGCCCGTCGCAGGGCGGCACACCACACCATCCCGCCTCAAGCCGTCCTATCGCGCCGCAGATCCGATCCACCGTGACGCAACCAATCACTTACGCAACTTGGCAACACTGTTCTTCCTCCATTTAAATCCATTGGAAACATCGATTTTAGGTGAGGCAAGCTACCTCACCAAGAATCGATTGTTTCACATACATTTAAATGGTGGGAGAACAGTGTTGCCAACTCTCAAGAATCGCTACTGCTTTGCGCTTACCGCAGAACCTTCATCTTGTGGTAGAGGACCCTTGAACAGGAAGTACGGGCACTGGGACCATGGGGACCCATTGCCCGAAGAAAAGGACAGAAAAAAGAAGAAGAAAGAACGCTTGGTTATTAACTTTTGGTAATGAACTGCTTGTTAAATTAACTCTGGTAATTTTTCTAGACGAAATTGACTCAAACTGCATGTTAGATGCTTTAGAATTTCGAAAATTTCCAGGGGGAGGCCCCTCGGACCCCCACATGCCCCCCCCCGGTTCGTAGTGTCTGGATCTGCCTATGTCCATATTCTCACTATAATCGAGCGCTTGGCACAGAATCGTCATCACCTAGTGGTAAAAGCTCACGGAACGGCAAAAAAAGGTCCGTTCAAGTTTTTACGCTCACAATCAGTACTCATGGCAATATCGTCGCTTTAAAACACCAAGAATGACGAGAATCATTGTATTGGTGTGTGCAATGGTCTCATGTTGGTCTCTTTCAATGATTCACACGGTTTGACGAGACCAATTTGGGTAGATGAGAAACACAGAAATTAAAGTGATGAATGACGTCATTAAAGGACAACTCCGCGGCTGAACTTCGTATGACTCGCTCAGTAGCGTAGTATGAGTGATCGAATATCGATATCTTCCCATTCAGGGTGTCTACTAAAACAGGCTGACCAAAAATCAGTACTTTTTCCGCACAATTCCAAGAAATGCCACACCTTCTTAACAGAAAAGTTCAGTACTTTTTCAGTACCTCCAATTGACGAAATTCGAAAAATTTCAAAAATTTGAATTTCTTGCTCAAATTATGACAAAAATGACAAGAAATGAAAAAAATTCCGGACCTTCTTGCTGAATTTCCGCACTTTTTCAGTACTTCCGGACCGCTCTTAAAAAATCAGTACTATTTCCGTGCTTTCCGGAAATTCCGGACTTGCAGACACCCTGCCCATTAGAAGCTATGGTAAAGAATCGATCATTACAGTGCTCGTTGCGAGTACCCTGTTTATCGATCCTTTCCGATAGGTTTTAATGGCAGATCAATCGATACATCGCAAAGCACGCCAAGCTACTGGACTCGCTCGTTCATCCTCTCCGCTTTTTCTTAGCCCCGCCACCCTTTAGCCTCTTGGCTAGCTCGTCTTTTTTCACAGTATTTTTATACATTCCGCAAGGATTATGGTATCTTGGCACGGTTTATGCAAAGATTTATTGGCAGTCACCATTCGACTGAGATATGATCACAATAATAAGTTAAAAGAAACGGAAAAAAGACAAATTAACACGTAAAACTGGTGATAGATTCCTACGATGAAGTTAGAACCCTAAAGTCAAAATGTTAAAATGTATACCTTGTAATAAAGTCTTACGTTGAGTGTAAAAGTTATGGCGGTGAGAAAGATAAGTCGACAATACTTTTTGTAGTGAAGCAACATTTTAGTTCAAGATGCTGAGTGAGAGGACAGCTCTCTTTATCACGACAAAAAAACTGCCGCGCCAAAGAAGAACGCCGTATGAGCTTTCAAACGTTGCCAAATTTACTTAGATAGAATCCGAATTTTCGCGGAAAACCCGTACTCTTTGGAGAATTGTATTTGCAGCCGAAGTTATAACAAATCCCAAAGAAAAAAGTCTCAACTCTTTATTAAAAAATATATTTTATCGTAGGAAACTTGGCAACATTCGATTGTTCATACGTTGTTTTATCTTAGCATGTCAGAATAGACCTGATCACAGAGCTCCCGTTCTAAGGAAAAACAGTATACGTGCATTCCGGCTTTGCAAATCTTCTTTAAAACAATAAATATTCTCCAAAAAACTTGGAAGTTTTTTTTGTTTTTTTTTGTATTGCATTTTTTCGTATAATTCATAAATCGCATGCGTAAATCAAGCGCATTAGAAGATTTCGAGACGAGAAACCCTCATATTTCTCAGTCGTGGATGTTTTATCGAGGGAAATTTGGCAAAATTTGAATGCTCATATGTTGTTTGTACTGGCATGGCACAGTAAGAGCGTCTTAGTTTATCAGCGAAAAAGTAATCAGACACATCTGACAAGATTCAGCGTCGTGTCAGAGCGTTGGGCGATGAAAAAATTACGCAGCAAATTTGAAACGTGGGAATATTGGCGGCGAAATTTTGGCACACGAATCCAAGGCGTGAGCGGAACGAAACAGAAAATTCAAGTGACGAAAAACCCGGGAGATTGAGGGTGTCAACGGCGTGATACTGCTACAGCCAAGCGCGGGCAGGGGGTGGTTCATATTGAGGATCAACGGCATTACTGACGAAAATAATCGATGCCAGAAGGGAGAGGGAGTGATGACAAAATTGAAAAAAGTGGGGCACGCGGATAATCCATGATTATACTTAATCTTTTGCGGGCATTCAGGGTTAGATAGGTCAGGTATAAATAAGTGGTGGGGGATCTGCATCTTGGTTGCTGTACAGCTAGGGTGGAGCGTTGTTTAAAAAAGTTGTCGGATCGAAACGGGCAAGCGAAAATAGGTGCTCTATAAGGTTACAAACAAAAAAGCAAGAGTAACATTTTTTCGAATTTTGACATTTTCCGTGAGTACATTAGGCCAAAACATGGTGAATCCAAAATTCGATTTTTCGGGCAAATGAATAGTCAACTTCAGCTGAAATTGACGATTTAGCGCCAAAGGCGAAAATTTTCGCAACTATTCATTTGCCCGAAAAATCGAATTTTGGATTTACCATGTTTAGGCCTAATGTACTCACAGAAAACGTCAAAATTCGAAAAAATGTTACTCTTGCTTTTTTGTTTGTAACCTTATGGAGCACCTTTTTTCGCTTGCCCGTTTCGATCCGACAACTTTTTTAAACAACGCTCCACCCTGGCTGTACGGTCCACCGAAATACGGGGATGCTTCGGGAATGGACCACTAGACAAGGTACGAATTTAAGCATTCTGATACATGTATCTTACCCAGAATTTCATGTAGAACACGATTCTTGTATCAACAATTACTCAAATCAACCCCTAACTAAGATAAAAACGTTTTAATTTTACATTGGTTATGGGAAATTTATAAATTTCCCGGTCACAAGAAACACAACACTCTGTGTGAGTCAAATCGCGCACCACAACGGTTTTGGCAGGTTTCTCCACCGAAAATTATCCCACCATGTATTTTTCAAAGCGTAAAAAACTTGCTATATCCAAGAAAAAGCGTCAGAATTGAGGTTGCCATCTTTTCATACCGCAGAGAATTTAACGGCAACGATTAGTGCGCGCAATTCGACTCACGTGCATCATTGCGTTTTCATGAGCGGGAGGTTTGAATTCACGCATCAAGAAACATTAAGTATCATGGCTAAGAGTTAATTTCAGTAATTTTCGTCGCGCGAATCATGTTCTACGCGAAATTATGGTTAAGAATCATGCATCAGAATGCTTAACATCGTACTTTGTCTGGTGGTCCATTATTCGAAACGGCATTCGGATGCGTGCCTTTAAAAATTACTCGACTTTCTTCTTAAATATGATACGAAAAATAATAAGAGCAACGAATCTAATTTCAAAAAGAGCAGTGAAAGAGAGAAGGTCCATCAGTTAGTGCCTGTTTCAACAATCGACTGATTGACAAGGGGTAAACAGAGAAGCGTCCGTAAATGATAACGCCTTGAATAAGTTGAATACAACTATTCGTGCTCGATGGATGTCCGTGGTGCATCCTCCCAAAATGAAGGCGCACAGGTTTTGTCCTCAACTCTCGCATACCTCTCGCCCTGTTTTTAGTGTATTTTCCGAGGGAAATACACTATTTTTGTAGATAGGACTTACACTTACGTGTGGATTCATTGGAGGTAATGTTGGGGATTTTTCCGGAAAAATCGATAAATCGAATCGATTCGATTATCTTTGAGAATCCGATTTCATAGATTTCAACCGTGACAAAAAATCGATTTTTAAAAAAAAAGGAAATTATGAGAGCTTAAAATTCGCATTCATATGAAAAAAAAAAATAAAATTCGAATGAAAATTTTCGGAAATTCTGCTGAAATTTTGGTCCAACAGTCGGCTCTCGTGCCGATATAATGCATTCGGGTAACATAATATCGGAATTTACGATTTTGACGGAAAAAATCGGTTTACATGATGACTGGAACCCAATAAAATCGATGCGATTTAATCGATTTTTTCGGTTAAAAAGTAGAGTAACAAATGGACGTATTTCTATCAAACGGACCTAAGCGCCATAGAGTGAGGAAGGTAGAGGGAAGCTTGGATTGGCGGCGGAATCGGGCGTCCGGTTTATTCCGTCCTTTACTCGTAATGCTTTTCCATGGCGCTTAGGTCCGTTTGACAGAGCGCGCTATCCGGGATTCTAAATTCTTCAAAAGGAACTCAAATTGACGCTTGGTTCCGTTTGATATAGTCCAAATCTCCAACAACAATTAGAAGTGGGTTTAGTGGGTACTCACGAGGGTGTCGGCATCGAGGAAGACGCATTTTTCGTACTGGACGAGTCGCCAGCAGTGGAGTTTGGTAAAGGTGATGCCGAGCTCAGGTCGTGTCAACAGCTTCAAATTGGCCACATCTTTCGAGTCGAGCACGTCGACTTCCTCAACGTGGTTGAACGCCGCTCTCAGCTGGGCTCTGCAAACACACGTCACGGTAATTAGTCGAAAATGGGAAAAGCTCCAAAGTTCCCACGGTGCGTCATGAAAGCAGTGCAGAGAGGATCTTCCCTGACCCTGAAAATATTGCACTGCTGCCATCGGGTTAGTCGACACTTACGCTGTCTCACAGGAAAGGGTGACGGTGGGCCGTTTTTGAGCCCACCTTGAAGTTCCTCAATTATGAGATATTTTGCTCATTGAGGGTCTATATTTTACGGATCGCGTCATAATTTGGTTATTTTCGGTGTCTTTTCGGGTCTAATACTGGCCTACACATGGAGCTGAAGGTCGACTTTGGCGTAAAATGTGGGATTTGCGGTTGAATGCCGAAATGTCCGCGTTTTTCGCCAAAATAAGCCTTTAGTCTTCTATATGGCCCGTATTAGACCTGAGAGGAGACCGAAAATTACTTACCAAATTATGATGCATTCCGTAAAACAGTAAAATATAGGCCTTCAATGAGCAAAAAATCGTTAAATTTAGGAAAATCAGCTAGAATGGGCCCAAAATGACCCTTATCGATACCCCTCGATCGATAGAAAAGGAAAATATGAACCGAAATAAAAAAGGAAGGATAGAAAGCAGAAGAAGAGAGCAAAAAAAGAAAAAATGAAGGAAAATTTTCTTTTCCTTCGTCTTTCAGTTGACCTTTCTTCCTCTTTGTCTTCTTCTACTTCTTCTTCAATCCTCCTCTTCCCTCTTCTCTTTCTTCTTTTTTGTCCTCAGATTGCTGATGTGTCTCAATTACACCTATAAAAGTAGTACTAGACTATTGCACATACGTGTCTTTTTCACGAGACCCTACGTAGATATGATTCTATGTCTTATTTCAATCGAGATGTGGCAGCATCGAGCTTCGGGTCTGAGGACGCGAGTCAGTCAAACTGGTTAACTGGGTTAGTCTAAAAGAATGTATGACCCTGCCGGAAAATAATCTTTATTCATATTTTTTTGCGCGCTGTTATACCAGAAAGGAAGGAGTAAAAAGTTTTTCAGAATTCCCATTTATTTCCTACCAGAAAAGCGTTGATGTGCGGAATGACGCCTATCTGTAACCTCTAAATCCAGCCAGTGGCGATTCTTAAAAGTTGGCAACCAGAGGCAGATCCAGCAAATTGGCAACACCGGATTTCCTCCATTTAACCCTAGGCTAAATAATCGATTCTTGTCGGAGCACCTTGCCCCACCAAGAATCGATACATTCCCATAGGTTTCAATGGAAGAAATCGGGTGCTGCCAAGTTGCTGGATCCGCCAATGTTGGTAACGCTGCTTTCCCTCCATTTAATTGTACGTAAAACAATCGATTCCTGATGAGGCAATTTTTCCGCCCAAACTCGATATTTTTAATGGATTTAAATGCAGGAAAACACTATTGCCAACTCGCAGAATCGCCACGGAATGCAGCGCGTTGCAGCTCATAACCAAAACCCACGTGGATGCGCGATGAAGTGGCGCCAATATTTCACGCGTCACCCCTCCCCGGACGCCCGACCTAAAATTTAATCACCAGACAACACAGATCTAGATTTAGACGCGCGAAATTTCACCCGCTTCAACTCTGTCCACGTCATCGGGAACGCCCGCACGTAACTTTCGACTGTCAAAGAATCACTTTTCCACATTTTCATTCATTTTCTCGTGAGGTGAACGCGCGAAGGCCCGCCCGCAAACTGGTCGATTCAATAAATCGATTTAACTAATGACTATCGAATGATTTTGATTGGACCGATAAACAGAGTTGTGAACTTATTGGTATCGTCCATTTGGATTTCGCCTTCAATTTGGCCGCGCAGGCAACAAGCACGCCGGGGAGCTCGAACCATAAGCTTTCACTAGACAGGGTTGTAAGCTTTTCATTTCTCTGGCAGCTTACATTAGTCAGTGGCGTGGCGTGCTTTGCGATGGATCGATTTGTTTGTCATTTAAACCTAAGGAAAAAGATTGATACACAGGGTGTTCGTAACGAACACCTTAAAGGAGATCTGAGGTTCTATTTCTACAATCCTCAATGCTAAGAACAAATAACGACTGTTTGCATGTTCAAAATCTTTTTCTGAACTTCGAATTTTTCACAGGTGAAAATGAGTGACTACTTGAATTCAAAACTACTTTTGACACATTTCGTTTTTCCAAAATGCGGCTTGTTCGTCTCTGTTAAACTCGGTCGATTTTGAACGTCTTTTTGAATCATACTGGGGAAAAGTCTCTTGGATCTAGAGTCCAGACTCCTAAAAAATTTGACAAAAAGTAATACTACCTACTCAATCGAATTTTTACTTTAATCGAGAGCCAAGCCTTTTAATTTAAGCGGATATTCTTTTATTTTGATTCAAGCAAAAATTCGATTGAATCAAGAGGGGTTTTCCATATCAAATTTTTTAAGAGTCTAAGACTCTGGATCCAAGAGGCTTTTTTTCTCTGCTAAAAATGTTGCATGCGGCCGAATTCCATGAAGTTGGTTTCTATGAAAAAAATGACATGGAAAAATGGAACAGGAAATATTTTCAAGTCACTGTTTCATGGAAATCAGCCTCATGGAAAATTTTCAGCAGGGTATGGTTGATGAAAAAAGCCGCCCCGAAGGATTACTTAAGGAAATCATTTTCGGAATCGTGAAAAATAAAATAAATGAACCAATTTCCAGTGTATAATGTACAGAACGTCAGTTATTTTTTCGGTTTTCATAAACCTGAGGTGGGTGAGCCAATCAAAAATGGATCTTCCAGAGTCCATACTCTCGCTATAAAGGTACTCCTGCCTTACAGAGGATGCAAAGGACAAAAGACAAACTTACTTCATGGCCTGGGAGACACCAGGCGTGACTAGGATGGCGAGTTCATGTTTGGTGCCAACTCTCTTCAGGGAGGCAGCTAGAACTAGGGCGCCCAGTGCGTACGAATCGTTTGTTGTTAGAGTCACCCACGCGCTCGCTGAAACGAGAAAAAGACACAAATCACGTCATCATTTCAGTCGAAATAACACAGCATTATTAATAATGTCGAAATAAAATCGAAGTGGACGGGGAGCGGTATGTAGGAGACATGGGCGTTGCGTAAGATTGCTTTCGTTCCGGATGAAAGCGAATTGACCCCAAGAATTTTCTCGAATTCTTCGAAGTGATGTTTATAAAAATGACTATTCTGCTTGAATTTAAATAGTTCACGGGTTAATTATTTATTTGTGAGTGCAGTGATGAGAGTATAAATACAATACTACAATTACAAAGTTTCAGCCTTAATTTTTAATTTGTCTGAGTTGAAAAATAAAAAAGTACAAGCCTGAAATTAACGCAGTGATGAGCCTCCCTAATGAATCAAAATCTCAGTATGGACAGGGTTCAATAGACTCGTTTACTCGTGTTGGGCACATTTTTTGTGAAAGCCCTGTCAACACTAACAAGAGTTCACGGAACTTTGCGCGAAAGTTCAGTACCGTAAACCCATCCCTGTTTGGAAAAGGCCTTCCATTTATAACAAACGAACGAAAAAATTATAAGAACAAACATAAATGTGGTTAATAATTTTAACTTCCGCTGCCGCGCCGCGCTGAGACCGCACAACGTTGGGCGCAATGCGTGAAGTATTCATGCAGTCTTGTAGGCGCTATGCGTTTCAAGCCGACTGCTGCTGACCGCCGCCGTGTGTTGGGCACAATGCGTGAAGTATTCATGCAGTCTTGTAGGCGCTATGCGTTTCAAGCCGACTGCTGCTGACCGCCGCCGTGTGTTGGACGCAATGCGGGAAGTATTCATGCAGTCTTGTAGGCGCTATGCGTTTCATGCCGACCGCCGCGCCGCGCTGAGGGCTTCTCCTTTTCATCTCAGTCCTCGTCATCATTGATCTCTGCGCCGCTCCGCCCCAGGTCAAATTGAGAATTTGGTTTCTCTCTTTACTCGACTAATTAAAGGTGCTGTCTCTTGTATCACCGGAAGACGACAAAATTAGAAATTACCATACTATTTCTCTCAAAAAATGAGAGATTTTGTCGCCTTTTCTCATTGTAATTTATTTTCTAAATCCGATTTTTTTCTCTCTCTCTTTTTTTTTGGATACCTACATTAAAAAAGATTGCAACATTTGGGGGTTAGACTCAATTGGACTCGATGGGTCTACTGCGCGCAAGAGATACAGCCAAGTGCATAAACTTCCTTTACGTGAAGCACACGAAAATCACATACCAAAGTCCGAGACCCAAAAGAGCGTTACTGCTCTACTCGGTAACACGGGAGCATATTCTCATTCGACTCGGGTAAGTTACGTGAAGTTCTCAGAGGTTTTTTCGCGATAGTTCGACAGCGATGGATTGAAGTGTCACGTTGCGGTGCGGACTGCAGAACGGAGTCAAGATACAAGGACTTACTTAGCTTTTAAGGAACACGCCCGATACAACATCACCGATCAACTGATCGTAGATGACATTCAATGACCCGTAACTGTCACACGATTACGAGCGAAAACAAGACCTATCCACAACTATGGGAGCTACACTGCCGCGCTGAGTAAAAACGTCGTAAGAGCATTCGAATGTTGCCAAATTTCCTCTCAAAAACACTTATTTTTGAAAAAAGTTATAAATACTTCTCCTTGAAATTTTCATACTCTTCAGATAAAATTACGAACAAAATTCTCTATCGTCGGAAAAGAAGTATTCACAAATTCTCCAGAAAATTCGTGATTTGTCGAAGGAAATTTGGCAACGCCAAATGGCTAATACGACGTTCTTCCACAGCACGGCAGAATACCGCTCTACACTCCACGACGAGTGGCGTGGCGTGCTTTGCGATGTATCGATTGATCTGCCATTTAAATATATGGAAAAAGATCGATTATCAAGGTGTTCGTAGCGAACACCTTGATAATCGATTCTTTACTACAGCTTCAAATGGAAAAATATCGATAATCGATCATTATCGCCACGCCTTTGTCTACGACCTTCAGATTCATTTCATTTTTTTGAATGGTTTTGAAGAAAAGTAATTTCATTGTTGGTGAAAAACTCCTGCCTTATCGTAAGTTTTTCACGCGTCAAAAGGAAGGATTCCCATTAAGACCTTTTTCGTCCAAAAGTTGGTCGATTTCAACTGCTTAAGAAACAGTACAGTTTCTAGGAGTCAAAATTGACAGGAAGAAGCCCAATTTGGAATTTTTAAAAACAACCATTATTTTGCGATGTGGGTAAGTTCTAAAATGGGTCAGAGTCTTAGAGAAAAGGCAATGCGACGTCTTGTCACATACAAACTTTAGGCGCTTTTAATTTTTACCAATTTTGTGACTAGAGAGAAGTTATTAAAAGTGTGATTCTTCTTTGCACATTTTCTACCAAACATGAAGTTATGCCCACAAGGAGCTTCTAAGTCTCCGGGTCATTAATTGTGAGTTTTTTCAGACGGAATTCACTCTATAACATAAGAGACAACTGTGCATTTTACCATGTTGCACTTGCTGAGTAGATCATGCAAAAATTTGTACCGAAAATACGGTTGCACCAGGGAATTTCATCACGAATTAAAAATAAGCTAATGACGAGTCGCACATTTTGGCAGGTTACGGAGCTGTAAGTTTAACGTTCTGTGAGGTCATCGAGAAAAGTTGTGTCACGGGAAGTCATTAAAACTGCCGCGCTAAAAAAAAGAACACAGGATGACAACTTGAATGTCGCCAAATTTCTCCTAATAAAACATTTATTTTTATTTAAATTACACTTATTTGCCTAAATATTTTCGGATATTTAAAATCAAATTGCAAACGAGGGGCTAGGAGGACAAGGCGCATGAGTGCAGCTTTTGCTATTTCGAGAAATAGAAGTTTGCAGTTTCGAAATTGCATGGCTCTCTACATGCAGCGGAAAGAAAGTTCAAATTGACTTCAAATAAGAATTTCGGAGCGAATTTTTCACAGGATATGCGTTAAGACTAATTTTACTTGAAATCAATAATACTTCAATTTTTTCAAAAACTACACTTGTGCGCCTTTTCTCCCAAGCCCCTCAAATTAGATTTTCTGATTTGTAAGGAAGACTATCACAACTTCCGCAGAAAATCTGTTTATTATCAGAGACAATTTTCTAGAATTCGAATCGCCTCTAATTGTGCGCAAAAGATACTATGAAAACCGCCAAATAAAAGGTAAAAAGTGACGCTGCTTACGTAAATTAGCTCCTTTTCTTTTGCTGAAGTGCAAAAAACACCTATACGTCCCAGTGTCATTCATCGTTGTTCGGAGATTCTTCATCGTGTATAAGCTTTTAAGGGGCGGTTATTGAGCACTTTGGTCGAATCAAAGGAAATCCATCTCAACCTGTCTATTCNGGGGTCTATAAGAAATTGACTAAGTAGTATCAGCGTTTTTTTGGAGGTGTCCTTATTCTGATCTTATATTCTGCCTAATTATAGTTTTTGTCAGAAGTGATACAAATCCCAAAGCATAGTAATAAAATTCAGGGATTTAAACGCAGCTCATAAAAACAACACAGCAATCCAACTCCTAGTGAAATGCGAGGTAGAATCAAAGCCAATGAAATTGGTATCTCGGAAGAAGCTTGGCATCAGATCGCTGATGGAAAACTATATTCAACGACAGATTTTTACAAACTTCACGAACTGCAAATTACTTTTAACCTCTATCTATCGGCGTGTGTGGTACCAAAACCGCAACGATTTTCACGATAGCACAAATCAATCAACTTCTTCCGAGCACACATTGCAGTGACGAATCACGACGCGACGCCCCAAAAAGAAATACATTAAAATATCGGTGTACTTTCTCGGAAAATGCACTACTTTACGAACAACTTAAACACTGAACAGTCGAAAGATGAAGAGTCTCCGTATGACAAGACATTAACTCCCGAAGACGCTCGCACAACGCACTTATTCCAGATCGAACTAAAAAACTACAGATTCACGAGCTTTTCCCACGACGAGCTTTCCAAAAGACTGCAACATTATCAAATGCGTCAACACGAAGGCGCAGAATCTTTGCCGAGTGGTTCGAAAAAATATTTAAAGAAATGAGGGAACTCGAGAAGACAACGCAATTCTGCATCGCGGGGGGGGGGGGGGGGGTTAAGAACCCCGGAAAAGGACCCGCAACTTTCACGAGAAACCCTATCCGATCCTGGTTCCAAAGACTGCACCTCTCGCACTAGATTCGCCGGGCATTTACACGTGTTATGCATCCTCGACAACGTGTAATTACTGCATTTACCAAACAGGTTGCTGCGGGCTGATTATTGAACTTTATAGACAAAGCGATGGACAAAGGAGATATAGGGAAAATTAAGCTTTCCTATTGGTTGCGGTGATTTTTATAGGGAGTATGTTACTGTATTTGCTCCCTATCTTCGTATGGGGACTTGGGGAGTTTGACTTGATATAGATGTGGACTCTCGGGATGGCGTGGGATATCCCCTCCATTGCGCCCTTAACTTTGAGAGCTTTTTTTAGTTTTGGAGTTTGTTTCAGAGAAGACCAAATGCACCATCGTGTTTCTCGCAAATTTTTACATGGATTTCAATACTTAAATGGCAAATTCCACACACATCGACCGTGAAACTTCCATACCACGTATCTAGTTTGTGGTGTTTGAAAATCTCTGCTCCCATTTTATTTTTGTGAAAGAGAACAAACCAATTTCATTCCTTGAAGTTTTCACAGATTTTTTTCGTACAGAGAAGAAAAATCACGGAAGTTTTCAATAATTGACGTTGAGTAGTTTTCCTTCTAAAAAATAAAGTATAACCGGAAGTCTGCGTCGTTGCAAACCGAGATAAGTGGTCCGGGAGTTTCACCGTCGACATGCAAAAGCTTCATTAGAAGTAGGTCCTCCAGCGGGCTGATTGTTGACATTGATAGACAAAGCTATAGAAGACAAAATGAATAAGGAGAGATCTTATACGTGGATGTGGATGGTTGCAATAGACAAAATAGGTA